CTTGGGTATTGTGGCAAAGTTGAAGGCCGAGATCAAATCCTCCGGCCAGCCCAATTGCTACAAGAGTGGTACACTTTGGATCCATCCCAAAGATCCGCTCTTTGCTCTTCATTCTACGAAGAATAATCCTGGGGGTTACTCACCCACTGGACTGTATCACCTTGTCATGGGATGTAGTATGAGCACATACCTTAAGGCTAGCCTTGTCAATTAGAAGTTAAGACGCACTTAAGAATAACAAAGGAATTGAGACGCGCTGATAGACGCGTTCAATCTTATCTCAGAAACCCGGATCAATCTCGCAAGATTGATATGAAGTCAGAGATGCCAGGGACTTGCGAGATGCCGAACAATATCTCGGATCTCGGGATCCGCCAAACACCGGATGTTTGTTTGGCAACAGCCTCAGCCGGTTCCGGCGGCTCGGATGGATCCATCGCGTGTGCTCGAGATTCTTCACGCCCTTTGAAGAATCTTCTAGCAAGCACAAGGTGCCGGTCCCCCTTACACTCACACTGACTCATGAGCATAGCCTCCTCAGTAGTATATAAAGGCTTAGTCTACTACTGTATTCGGTACTTCGAATCAATCCTATTTACCTCTACAATTGAGTGATCATAAAGACTTATCTTGCAGGTTGCAAAGGACCGACGCGTATTTCACTTATTAAAGAACTAACAGAGTAACTGTTACTTCGCCAAACGTCAGTGAGACGTCTTGGGATAAGTTCACGCATCTGTACTTAGAACAGTAAGATTTGACGGATCTCTAAATATAGAACCGGCGGATATCGTTGCTATCTAATCTACGCTAGATTAACTCTGGATCGCAACATTGGTGGACACACCCGGAAACTGAGAATTCCTGTCAAACCTCAGTTTCAATCATCAACCTCAGCCTTTAAAGCAACCCTACTATTCTATTCAACAAACAACCAACACCCCTCAGATATTCATGGCCACGGCAACCATGGAAGTTATGGAAGGTTCGTCCCCTCTAAATTCACCAGAACTTTCGACTCCCGCAACAGCGACTACTGACCGTATTGCTTCTAACGTTTTTTTTGACCTCCCCAGACTCATCGAAATGTCGCCTGCAATCAAACCGGACGAATTCCTTGGAGATCCGGAACCGACCGTGATTGATGTACCAACTCTGGGCGCCTTCCATCTCTACCGCTCTAACAGGGAGTTAGTAGAAAGGCGTGGTAATGCGCTAGAGATCGGTGCCGAGGCTTTCGACAAACGTTTCTTGCTCAGCTGTAAAGTATTCTCTCGACGCTTATTAAAGGACATTTTTGATCACGAATCTAAGCTCTTAGATCTGCTTTTCACAGACTGTCTCAAGGTCCAAACCCTCGACGGCTTCGCATTCTCAGTCAAACGTGAGCACTACGCCGCTATTCTCTCTTTTCTAGTTCGAGTACGACAGAAACTCTCGGACCTACTCTTAGCCGGTGGAACTCCAGTCCCCAAACTCCCTCTATGGGGACCCAAGGGTGATGTTAACGAGTTCTACTTCGAGAATGAATTCGAGATTGCCGGGATTTGCTTCAGAACTGAAGTCGAAAGGTATTTGTCAATATTCGACGAGCACTATAATTTCAACACTGACGTTCCGCGAAACCCGGAGCTGGCTACCTTACTTGAAGAAGAAGAAACTCCCATTCCCGAGACTCAACGCAATCATCGCGATCTTCCACCACATCTCGACAACCATACTCGTAATAACGAGAGGCATCATCAACAAGCAAGAATGGAGAGCGGAGGACCGAGAACGCGTCGCACTTCAAATATCTACCACCAGAGCGACGCTATGGCGCGAACCCTACAGGGGAGGAGAATGCAGCAGGCTGGAGCTCGCCCACCGACCTCTAGGATGAGAGAACTCTTGGGAGATAATAGCGAGAATTCTGATAATCTGAACAGAGATCGGATGCAAGGTACGCCAGTATCATCGGCATCTCGTGCTAACAGAATGCAGCGCGCAGGAGGCGACCCACCTGGCGACGAACCCTCCGATGACGAGGGAAGCAACGGCCCTCCAAGAAACTTTCGACCTCCTTCCCGGATGTCACGCGACGGACGACAGGGACGAGAAGATAATCATAGGCGCGCAGGGGGACCTCCAGGAGACGACGACAATGGTGGAGGAGGAGATGACGACGGGAACGGTGGTAACGGGCATCATAGAAGAGATCGCCTCCAGGACGATCGACGTCCCCGCCCACAGCCCGAACCTCATTTCGACCTCAAGCTTAAATTCGAGAACGTGCCGAAATGGGACGGTAATACCGATACCATAGTCCGTTGGTTGTCCAAAGTCAATAATCTCGCCAAAATGTCAACAGCGGTTTTCACGCAACTCGGTACAGTGGTACCTCGGAGGTTGGAAGGAAACGCAGACACTTCAGTCAACCCATTGACCCCCCCTCTTAGGTGTCACAATTCCATCCAAAGTTACCCCCTAAGAGGCCCTTTGCCCGGGGGCATCCCTTGGTGGGTTTGGGCCTTCCCTGCCCATGGGCGCCCTAGGGCATCCCTCTGGGATTTCCACCAGGAACACGCCCATTGCCCAATTGTGGGTGGCCCGGGCATGGTCTGGGATACCCAACCATATGGGTGTGCCCGCATTAAACAATACCTTGTCACAGGGTGCACGGGGTCCTCAGCCTTTTTTTTTTTTTTTTTTTTGGCCGCAGGGCCTCTTTACCGTAGTCATATACTACATGTGGTAAGTTGCTGCAGACAATAATGTACTGCCTGCAGGGGCCTTCTTGCGGAACCGACAGTTGGGGGACTTAAGGTTAGGGTTTCCTATCGGTATTACATGACGATCAATTGTGTGAGGTTTCAAGAGACGGTATGGAGCGGGATTAGCAGAACAGCTAGGAAAGGGGAAGGTGTACCATCATCATCTTGGGTTACTGTGGAGGGAGGGGGGTGGAAGCTTAGAAATTGAAGGGTGTGTACCCATTTGTTCAACAGGTGAAGTTTCCTACTTCTTTCCGTAGGAACATATTATTTTAATCTTCATCCCTGCCTGACCTCACATGATATCTGTTACAAACTAAACAGACTGCACCGGCTCTGGATCACCCTCATTATAGTGGAACTTTCCTGAATTTCACTTGGGTGCGGCCCAAGGGTGTTGCCCAATACTTGGGCAGCCCATTAGGGTCACCCGTAACACAGGGCACATGTCCTGAACTCTGTTGGGAGCTGCCCAGTGGTGTCCACCAATACCTTGGGCAACCCATTAGGGTCACCCGTGCAATAGGGCACATGTCCTGAACTCTGTTGGGAGCTGCCCCTAGGCGTCCATCAATACTTTGGGCAACCCTGCAGGACCACCCTCACCACATTGGACATACCCACGACTCTACTGGGTGCTGCCCATGGGTATCCCATGACATCTTGGGCAATCCTGGAAGATCACCCTCATTATAGTGGACATGTCCTGTACTCTGCTAGGAGCTGCCCATGATATACAGGGCAATCCAGCAGGGCCACCCACCCCATAGTGGAAACACCCTGCACTATCCCGGTAGCTGCCCACGGGTGTGCAATGATATGTTGGGAGACCCAGTGGGATCACCCTCATCGTAGTGGAAATGCCCAGAAATGTATTGGGTGCTGCCCACAGGTGTTTCCTTCTAATTTGGGTCACCCAAAATGATACTGGGCATGCCCTGGACCAGTCCAGGAGCCTTCCGGAAAGTGAAGTCTTCATTGCTGTTGAGTATGAGTCTGTTGTTGAAGCCCATGTTGATAGTCTACCAATTTGAAAGTGTAACCCAATGTATGTTGTCTCAGTTGGAAAAATACAACACTTCTTACATGACCACCTACCAAGCGCCTGCAGGGAATGTACTTTACCCACATTCAACTTGGCAAGAGAGTGATGCTTGGACTACCAATCATTCCTTACAAGTCATGGACGATGTATGTTCTGCCAGTCGGACAAATATACCACAACTTCTCACATGCCCACAAGCTGAGCACCTGCAGAAGTTGCTGTTTACCCACGTTCAACTTGACAAGAGAGGAATGCTTAGACTACCAATCAATCTTACAATCTACGAACAATATTTGTTCTGCCAGTCGAAAAATATCACACAACTTCATGTAAAACCAAGTTTGGTATTTTCACCAGACACACCTACCACAATCTGTGATTGGAAGACATAGTCGGATCACCGAAGTTCATCGTGGGCAAGCCCGTGACTCTTTGGGAGGTACGATGGGAATTGCCCATATGCTTCATGGGCATGCCCTGAACACATGTGGGAATTACCCATGGGTGATCCCTTGACATTGGACGACTGAACTGGGTGACCCAAGTTCCTTCTGGGCATGTCCGTGACTCTTTGGGACCCGTGAAAAGATGACCCAGAGGTACGGTGGGAATTGCCCAGCTGCTTCATGGGCAGGCCCTGGGCACATCCGGGAATTACCCATGGGTGATTGGAGGTTAAAAGACTGCATTGGGTGACCCCGGCTTCTTCTGGGTATGTCCATGACTCTTTGGAAATTGTGAAAAGGTAACCCAGAGGTACTGTGGGAATTGCCCATCTCCATCATGGGTAGGCCCTGGACACATGTGGGAATCACTCCAGGGATAGAAAGACTGAATTGGGTCACCCAAGTTCCTCGTGGGCATGCCCTGGACCAGAATATTGACAACTAAAGTTGGCATAATCTGAGTAATCCACTTATTGGGTAAACATTGACAGTTTAGGTCCACTGTAAATCCGTGAGAATAATAAGAGAGTAAATTGTGGTCTCAAATTCTAATATATCAAACTTACTTGCAACTAAAGACTAGCGCAAAGCAATAGTATTTAGTGAACTTAATCGTAGCAGAAAGCAATAGCGATTAAGTTTAATTGTAAAGGAAAAGATAGTGCACGGCAATATTTAATGTTTAGCGCCGTTCTAACGACGAGGCGGCGCTGCATCAACAACCAGAGACACAAAAACATCCGCTCAGCTTATGTATGCACACACCCGGAATCGAACCGGGGACCGCCCAGACGCGAGGTGCTAAGCGGGCATGATAACCAACTACACCATGTGCCCTTGGCAAAGTCTCGCACTGGCAAACTCACAAGGTCATAGCCACCGCGTGTAAGCCAAAAGATATCCTAATACTTACAAGTTCAATTCGGAAACTCTTTTCCTTACAATATCATGCAGCAAAATGTTTGCGATGAGAAAAGCGTGCATTCATTTAGTATGATGAAAAAAATATGTACGCAATGGTATCCGGCCAAGCAGACGCCCTCCTGCAACTGATGAGTAGATACTGGACCCAGCAGGTAACTACAAGACTTGATGTAACTACACAGCAGCCGCCGCAAAAATATCAGCAAATTAAATTAATAACTATGAATTGGAAAATACATACCCTACGCGCGCCCACCAAAGAACCGGTTCCCGCCGGCATCCTGCTCATGTTGGAAAGAATAAGCAACCCCGCCGTCGTAGGCTCCGACATCACCATACGCGTCACCCATATACTGTTCGCCCATATATTCGTCGTCATCATACCCGTCTGGGGCATATTCGTCTTGGACATATCCGGTATTGTCGACAACAAAATATTGACGCTGGGGGTTTCGAGCGGCTCTGCCTTGCACAGCGTGCCAAGGATCACGCGGTCGGGAGGGGCCTGCCACTGCGTTGTGCTGAATCGGAGGCGGGCGATAGGCGGCATTCGTAGGAGGCGCTCGGTGAACAACTCCGACATTCGCGATGTCTCGACTTTGCTGCCGGGGAGCTGGCGGGAAACGCAGTTGCTGTTGACGAACAGCGCCGAGGACGGGAGGTTGCGAGGATCGAGCCATGTTGACCAAGGGCATATGCTCACCCCGAGTTGCCCGAGCAAAGGGCTGGTTGGGTTGAGGTCGAATTCGAGCCGATTGCCCGCCAGCGATGGGCATAGCACGCGCATGGGCCAAAGGGATAATAGGTCGGGTACCAGCGGCAGGCGTAGGGCGGTTACCAGCGGCAGGCATACGCTGGGTACCGGCGGCGGCGATAGGCCGGGCAAGAACGGGGGCGTCGGCTTCGCTGCTTGTCAAATTCGCGTCGAGTTTGAAGGGGATGGGGGCGTGTGTGACGATCTTCGGGCGAGGTGTTGGGTCCTCAACCTCGGAGGAGTCTTCGACGCGAGCACGCTTACGACGACGGGGGTTGGGCGTCTTTGGGGGGCGTGCCTTGGGGCCGCGAGTGGTGGGGCCGGTGCTGGTGGTTTCCTTCTGACCTTCATCACCAGACGTGGATGTCTTCGAAGTGTTGGACGTCTTCCTATTCTTCGACGCCAACTTCGTCGAACGAGCCTTGGTCATGTCCTTGCGGCGGGGTCTCTTGCGGCGGGACGGGGAAGGAGACGGGGTGACGGAATGGCCGTCTTCGTGGCCGTGCATCTTGGCGTCACGGCGCTCGCAATAGGACTTGCAGTCACGAATGATGAGGCCAGACTTCAGCTTCGTTGTCGCACCCTGGTGCACCCAAACGATAGCCGTATCGAGCCAGTCGCTGCCGCCAATCTCGTCATTGAATTCGTCAGCTTCTTCGTCATCTATTAACATGTAAGATATTGAGATAATATTAGTGACGAGAAATATCCGTACCTTCAAAAAGTGGCTGCAAGCGCAGCTGGTGCCCGTCTTTTCTCTGGATCGCATGTTCCAAGGAGTCGAGTTCAGCGGAGTTGAGCATGCGAATCTTCCAGCCCTCTTCGGGTATCCTGACGCCATGGGGCCATCCGACAATCGCAACCCTGCAACGGATGAGGATAGAAGGGATGTTCCACGGTTCGTATAGCTGGAACTTCTCTTCGCCCAGGTCACGAACTAGACAAGTAATTAGTATCAGCGTTGGAATACAAACGAAAACTCCTTACGGAAGATGTTAGGGAAAAGCCTTCCCACAATTCGGCGCTTCCAATCGCGGTGATCTTCCTTAGGGCCCTGCTCCCATGACCACGGTTTTGCGACCGTAGTGCTGGCGTCTCCAAATTGGAACATCTGCTCGAGGGATACATCCTCTGGTTTGACAGAGCCGTTCTTGATGCTTCTGTTCGAGCGTAAGTTATCAACACAAAATCATAGCAGCTAGAGGTGACGTACTGGGCAAGGCAGCTATACCCGTTCAGCACCTTATTAATTACCACCTTGTTCGCCTCTCGGGCAATCAGCTGTTGCATCAGGCCCGACCCTGACATCAGCGTCCTCAGCTGTGGGGCGACGCGGTTCTCAGAAAGGGGAACCAGAGCGATGAGAACTTCGGCGTCCCCATACGACGCGATATTCGCAGCCTGGATAAAGATTGTTATGAGTGTACGTAGGCAGAGACGCATGGTATCTTGACGTACGATCTCACCCAGGCGCTTGCGTGCGACGCTCAGTCGATTTACGACGTCACTGTCACCCCCCACCTTCTTCACCTCAGTGACCCATGTTTCCATCAAGGTCTTCACCTCCGCCTTTGTTTTACCGGCGATTGTGGCGGCATATCGCTCCCGCATCCCGGTCGACCATTCGAGTATTTCGTTGGGATCTGGAGATACCGTCGTAAGTGCCAGAACGGAGATAGCACCTGCATCACATACCAGAAGGACGAGACCCGTTTATTCTTTGCCACGCCTGAAACGCGTTCCATGCACTGGTGCCTCGTGCATGAATGACGTCTAAGTTCGCCTCGCGCATGATTCTTGGGAGCGAGACACGGTATTCCGTCGCTAGGTTGCGGAAGGTGTTGGCGGCCTGTTTGATGGCTGCCTTCTGTGCCGCATTCAGAGGCCCTCGGCGCGTGGCAGACGATTCTTCTTCGATGTCGTCGTCGTCGTCGTCGTCGTCGTCGTCGTTATCCATGACCAGGAGGTCATCGATGTTTAAGGCAGTGAAGCCTGAGTCCTCGCGTTCCTCGGTCACTTCCCTGCCCTTGCCCTTGCCCTTGACCTTACGGTCGCCTTCGCCAGTGTTCGCATCGACATCCATCTGCATTTCACGCAGATCCTCCTCGTCTCTGTGTCGTTCGTCCGCAGAATCTTCATCAAGGGGTCGGGCGCCAGTCTTGGCGCGAAGGGCATTGACAGCCTTGCGTTCCCGGACACCTTCGCTGTAGTCACTGTTCTCCGTTTCATCTTCGTCTTCGCGCTGGAAAGGGGCACGCGTCTCTTCTTCCCCATCGTCGTGTCCCTGTTCCACTCCCTCGTCTTCCCCTTGGTCGCGCGGCTGTTCAACTCCCTCCTCTTCCTCGTCCTCATCCTCGTGACTGCGGCGATGGTACCGTTCTTCACCACCTTCCTCTTCCTGCTCGTCATCGGGACGGCGCGCGTTTAGTGCTTCCCCATCTCCTTCATCGTCACCGTTGTTGTCGCTCCCGGGGGTCTCCATTTCGATGTCGTCATCTTCCCCATCCATCTCATGGTCTTCGTCCCCATCCATGTTCTGGTCTTGATACCCATGCTCAGACACGCCATCATTCAGTCGAAGCCCCATTTGAGATAGGACTGCATTGAAATCTGCAGTAGCGGCGCCGGGCAGACCGACTTTCTTGAGCAGGCGTTTCGATGGTTCGGGAGGGCCGAGGTGACGGACACAGCCATCGGGGATGGTCTCCCAGCGCCCGGTGTCAGCATTCCACCATGCCTCGTCGTCGTCGGGGATGTCAGGATCGCCCTGTCGCCATTCCCGAAGTTTTCCACGATATGTCATCGTCCCAGACCCAGGACCGCCGGGACCCACGCGGATGAAATAGTCATAACCTGGCCGAAGTTGGGAGAGGGTAACATCGGTCGTAACCGCAGGCGTATCAGGACCAGGTAATTGGTCCCACCTAGAGCGAGAATGGATGTCAGCGTATGAACCTCAATTGCGTTGACAATACTCACGGGTCCTTGGAGGTCTCATGCAGAAACAGGGCCGTTTGAAAGACGTTTTCCTTTGGTTTGGGGGTGAACTAAGATAGAATTAATGGAAAGATTAATAGAACACCGCGATATGCTTACGTAGTTTCGTCGCCCGCCGACCTTTGTGCGTACATCACCGCTGAACGGAAGGCCGAGTTAGTCTGAAGAAATGGAGACATGGTAGATTCAATATACCGCTTGTTGGTGGCAGCCGTCGTTCGCTGGGCCCGCTCTTCCTTCTCCCGTTCCATACGTTCTTGGAGTGTCGCATTTGCCGTCGAAGCCCGCGCCCTGAAGAGGTCTGATGTTAGCAACGACATGGTATGTATGGCTAGTACATACATCACGGAACCGGCAGCTTTGCTTGAGGTAGTATGCCTAAAAGAGTTCGTCAGCTTCAACACGTATCGGGGTCGGGCTTGATGCAAGTCCCTCGATGCTCGACTATAGTCCAGATCATCGAGAGACCATAGAACGAGTGACAATAGTCCAAGTCGCGGGCAAGACACGAATGACAATAGTCCAACAGTGCCCTCAGAAAGAAAGAAAGAGAGGTTCACCTCACGATTTGCTGAGTCGGGTGCTGGACACTAATAGAAGAATGTTAATGATTGATCAGTGATAGTAAACGTTAGCGTACCTTCCACGAATGACCCTTCGCTTTTTTTTCTCTTCGCCGGTTCGTCCGCCAGGTGGGAGCCTAAGATACTCTTCATATACATAGCTTTTTTGCAGGGCATTCGCTTACCTGTGCGTTTCCTCTCGGTCGCTGTTTATGTCGTCTTCGTCTTCGCCATCCTCTCTGGATCCAGTCTCAACATTAGTTCATATTGTTCGACAGATCGAAAGAGGAGTACTTACCCTTCGGCCACGCCCTCCGTTGCTTTCTCCGTTGCTTTCTTGTTCTCCATTGCTTTCTTGTTCGCCGTCGCTTTCTTGTTCTCCGTAAGGTTAAAGCTATGAAAGCTACTGTTGAGGGTCTGCGGCCTGTGCGCCCACCTCAAGGAGTTTCTGAACCTGCGGATGGCTTTGATCCACGCATGAAGGTTCCAAACTCTGCTCTGGATAGCTGTCATGACTCGTTTAAAGCTGCAGATGAGAAGCGAGTCAAAGCTAGCACTAAGGTTTTCCAGGACACTGGACTCATGGCGCTAATCTGCCG